GCTGCCAAGGAGCTGTTGGGGGGGATTTATAGGAGTAACAACGGCTCGTGATGTCAGCCCGTGCCTAAAATAGAGAGGGATTGACTGCAAATCCACGGCTCGAGGGCTAAACCTCCCAATCCAGCCTCAGCCAGCGCCGCGCCGATGTGAAGTCGCCCCCCAGCTCTCGCACACAGCCGCGCAGACACGCACACGCTCCCCGCGGCGAGGGGAGGGCGCGGGGATCGCACCCAGGTGCCAGCGCCTCCTCGCCCCGCCGGCCACTGCTGGGCGGCAGCAGCGCCGGTCCCCGGGCACCGAGAGCCGGCTCTGGGACGGCGGGGTGGGGGAGAGCCGAGGAGCGGAGCTGCCGGATCCTCGCCCTGCCGAGCCCCCAGGATTACAAGGAATTGCGTGCTCCTTCCCCAGACGTGAACGAGGGTTATACCAAAGAACCAACCTCCTTCGCGCCCTGCTGTCCAAATTAATCCCTTGGACCCTTGAGAAGACAGGGTTTTTTTCGGAACCATGGCATCGACAGAAGGGTGAGGGGGACCATCTCTTGGGTGGGAGGAACGGGAGGATGGGGGAGATGCCCGGCATTGTTCTTTTGGTAACAGTTTCCTGTCATCTGCTTCATTGTTAATCCTTGCCCCTCGCCATTCCCTAACAGAATAATTAGGGAGCGAGAGGAAACGAGAAACAGACGATCCACATATAGAAGAGATCGAGGGAAAAAATTTCAAATATGAGCCACTGAAAAGGTCTTGGGTTTCCTTTCCATCACTTCTTTATTTAACCCCTGGAGGGCAGATCAAGCTTAAACCACCTGCCTAAAAGAAGAGTACAAGTGAATGATTCACTTGAAGGAGGAAGCTTTTTCCTAAATATAATGGTAGTGTTAATAATAATAATAATAATAATAATAGTTATTACTATTCTAATTTCAAAAATAATCGAAAACCTGTCCCCCCAGCCATTCCTTCAACAGGCAACAAACAAATCCAACTTCTTGAGGAGTTGTGCAATTTTGCAGTTCTGTGCCAAATGCGTTAAAGTTCTAGCAAGAAAAATGCTGGGAAGGGCAAAGGGTTCTACAAGAGGCTTTAGAGAAAAGCAAACACAGTTCAGCTCTGCTAGTGTCCCCTGGAAGGAAACTGTTGTCTTTACCCATGCCAGGATTGCAGGAGTCGCTCATTTCATTGCTCTCTGATGAGGCAGAGAGCTTGTTCAGTTTACAGACTTGCTGGTTGTAGGAAAGAAAAGATTTCATTGATCTCTGCTTGCCCTCTTATAACACTATTAGACTGTGTTTAGTGTGAGCCTCCCCTTTATCCCTGGATGTTGTCATGTTGTATCAGCGTGATCTGCTCAAGGTAGGACTCTCTAAGGACAGAGTGCAAAAGGAAGCTCTGTTTATATTGCCTTTGTGTCGCTCAGGCTAAAAGACTTGCTGAGCTGATTTAAATAACCCAACACATGTCTGGGAGGGTGTGCACACAAGTGTCCCATCACCTGGTCAGAAGAAGAAACTGGCTGTCTGTGCAGCAGCCCCCAAGCACTTGGCTTGAGGGGAATGGGAGGTTAGAAAGTATTGGTCTGCGTTGCTTTGAAAAAAAGGACAATCCCCCAGCCTAAAAGAGGGCAAATATATGACTCTCTTTGGCTTCTCACAGGACTGTGAGAGAAGTCATTAATTTGTCATTTGTTATTGCCTTACCTTTGCAGGGAATTTCTGCACTGAATTTGTACATTCTTGTTTTGGTGGCAGTGCAGCACTTTAATCTGCCCTGTGTAGCATTTTCTCTATTTAACTAGATATTGTCAACAAATGATCAGAGCCATGAGGAAGAAGCTCAGAGACAGAAGGACCAGCCTAGGGTTGCAGCTCTTTCCCTTCTGTATCCTTGGACTACCCCCACTATCACACTCCTCTGGGTGTTCCAGTCATCTGCTATTTGTATTCCCACATGAGGCAGCTGTAGAGGTCTGTGCTTGGTTTGGGCCAGCGGTGGAAGGTGGGATCAATTGTACAGGAGTTTAATAAGAGGTGGCTGTGTTAGAGAGATCTGTCAACTTTGGATGAAAGGAGATTTTAAATGTGTGTAGAAAGAGAGGTGCTTTTAAAAGAATTAGACTGAATAGGCAGGCTACAAAAGATCAGAGTGCTGAAACCAAAAAGGCTTCAGTAGATGCATGCTTTTGTCTTTCTTATGGAAAAGAGCTAAATTGTCAGGGTGAGAAAAGAAACAAAAAGTTTAGGTCTTGTTTTCAAACCTTGTAGGAAATTTACCTAGACTAAGGCAAACTGAAATTGTTGTTTGGTATGATTCAGTTAGCGGTCTGTGACAGCTGAAGGAGGTGCGGAAAGTGAAGTTGAGTGGGAAGCATTTCAATTGTCAATCCATGTTTACCAGTAAGAACCTCTTCCAGAACTGAATTCTCATCTTTCTTTTCCCTCAAGTGAAAAGCTGAGGGTAGAGATTAGCTTTCACTCTGGCGTAAAGGTCAGCAAACTGAGGCACCAAAAGGATCATCAGGGAAAGTGAATATTGACTGGACCTTGTTCAAGAAATGCTTTCCACCAGCACTGGCACAATGTGAGAATGGTGGCAGAAACACTGCTCTACTTGCAGCAATGGGCACCATCGCAGGTGCACACAGGTACATGGAAAAGGACCTGCTGGAGGTGGGAACAAAGGGATACACTCCGTATTTGCATCTAGTCACTCTTGGGATGTTCAGCTAGATATGTTAGTTGAGATCAGAAGTATATAAAGGTTTTATTTTGTGGTGTTAAAACTGCTCCAACTACCGTAATTTTTGTAGTGACCTATTACTCTTCTAATAGGGAAGCTTATGTAAAAGCTTCAAAGTGAGGATGTCAGGTGTGAGACAGGATGTTTAATGAACAACAAAAGGCCCTGATATATATATAGAGGAAGGTGAATCTGTGCTCCATTGTTAAGAGTTAGTTATCACTTGCAAACAGGATTTGGTAGGAAAGATTTCCCTGTCTGTGTCTTTTCAGTCATTCCTTCCTTTTTTTTTTTTCCAATATCTTATTTGGTTAAGGTTATCCATGTATGGAAATTTGCTGCACAAATCTTTGTGTTCCAAGAGGATGGTCAGCAATGGGAAACTTCAATTGGAAGAAAATTAGAAAGTAAATGTTCAAAAACATGGCAAAAACCAGACCCATGTGCCCTCTGGGTCTACCTTATTAGTTCCAGCTAGTGGGGTTTTGGTTTACGCTGTCTGTATATTGAAGGTTTAGTCTTTCTTTCACAAAATCTCCTCGTCAGATCTCATTACTAAGATGGATTTTTGGTATTTAGCTGGTGCTGAAAATGGAAAATATCCTGTTCAAGGAGGAAGGGCTAGCACCAAGTATGGATACAGTTCAAGATTTCTTGTTTTTATGTTCTGTTTAAATGTCTTCTGCTGGCCATGTCTGCAGGCAGGATGCTACTGGGAGACCTGGCCTCCTGATCTGTGCTGGCATCGCCTTTCATGAGTGCTTAACATGCTTCAAAGATCATGAGTCCATACCCACAGACTATGGTGTCTGGTATAGGGCTCAGTAGGTGGTTGGTTGATCTGTGGAGATTTACCAAAGCAGAGCATTTCAACATTTCCTTTGCTTTTACAGGGTCTTGATAGGACCTAAAGGTTACATGAGATTGACTCGGATTGGTTGATGTCCATGCTTGCCTTCAGACCTCTGAGCAAAGTCCGTGCTTCACATGGTTTTATTATGGCTCTTATCTCTCTCTAGTCTTACTGGAGGGAAAGAATAAAGTACCTTGCTATTATTTTGCTGGTTTTTTATTTGTCAAAACCAAACCTTTCAGAGTGCTAATTTAGATACTCTAAAAATCTAGAGATGTGTTTGTATTCTGTATGCCTCTAAAGAGTGGGAGTTTCTTGGATTAGGGTCTGCTCCTTCAGGAATATAGCCACTAGGAGACACTATCACTGCATCTATAGAAGCAGCTTAAACAGAGGCAGAGCAGGTGTGTGAGCCCAGAGCTCAGCCCTCTGTGCAGGTCAGACTCGGGGCAGCCCCGTGCCTTTGGCTGGGCAGCCTTTTCCCAGTCCATGGGCATGGTTAGGGAGTCAGTGCGGGCCAGTGGTCATTCCTAGTGGGCACTTTGAGTGTGAGCACTGTATTTTGCAGAGGTTGATAAGACTGTTGTGGGCTCTTCCACTTCCATTGGTCTCAGTTCTGGAGAGTGGTCCCAGGCAGGGTTTATGAGAAGCACAGAGATGTTACTTGTTCAGATTTGTGGTGCAGAGTTAACAGGCATGTCTGTGTGTGTGTGTGTATGCGCCCTGCTAACAAAATCAATCAGTGAAGTGGAAGAGTATGAAATGTTACTATGTTTGAATAGACAGAAGTCTGGGTAATTGCTTAGTGTTGTGGTTTGATTAGTGAAATAGTGCTTCTCAGTTCTATGTACACAATATAAATGGTGTTTCTGTGATATGAAATGGCACAAATGCAGTGCTCCCATTCTGGTCACAATAGCAGATAAACTGCATGGCAGGTACAGATCCCCACCTTGGTATTTGACTCTATCAGTATCTTACTTAGAAGGAAACAAACAAACAAAAAAATCTCATCTGAGCTCCATTCCTCCTCTCCAAACTTGGTTGTTTCTACATTAGTCTATAGCTATTCCTATCTTCATTGCAAGTTGCACTGTCTATGAAACTGCAGTTTCACTGTCAGGAGTACTGTTTGTCTGTGCTACCAGATCACCAAACAATAAAAGTTTGGTGCAGACCAGAGAGCATGTGATTTGATTTCTCCAAAATTAGCCACAGCTGTGGAACCCACATAGGTTTTTTACTAGCTGTAGACATATGGTTATTAGTCAACATAAGTTAACACAGGAGGCACAAATAATAAGTACCTTACTGGCATAAAGTTCTGTGAATACAAGTTAACCTGCCAAAATTTTTTTAACACATTTGAACATGAAGAATTCATTTACTACACAGGATTATTTTTTTAGTCATGCAGCTGTGATGGTTTTGGATCTTGGAGCAGGAGTCATAAGCATTTTGCTGCATTGTCAAGACAAAGCCTGAAAGGAAGATTGCCAGCTTGTATTATGCACCTAGCCTGGAGACAACATGACACACCTAGGTGAGTCAGGAAAACTAACTTGGCATTTCATGTAGGGTTCAGACACCTGCATAGGAGAGTGATTTTTCAGGATCTGCCACAACATATACAAGCACACCCACACATTTCTTGTCATCTGAGCTCTTATTCTGTAATTTGCCCACAAAATCCCTCTACACGGAAACTTGAGGAATTTTTCTGGCACAAATGTTTAGATAGTTCAGAGGATGAAATCTTCCAAATACTCTCACTGTTATTTTTACGCAGGATTTGAGGAGCACCAGCATAGGATGGAGATGTTTTACCCTATGCTCTTAGACATTTTGTGGGACAGATGGAGTGAATGTAGCTTGGTAACTAGTCATATCAGCTGTGGGTCTGACCTCATTTCACTGTTGTCAATTGCAAATCTCTCATCAATTTCAGTTGCAAATTGCAAATCTCTCATCAATTTCAGTAAAAGACATGCTTTGCAGAAGATAACTCGTGATTCTTAAACGACACAATAGTTCTCATCCACCAACCTTCAGTCTGGCCTTGAGATAACCTTTCAAAAAGAAGTTGTCACGTAGACAACACCTCAATTTTTATATATATCCAGATCATTTTATAGACACGCGGGTCTGTAAAATCTACAGGTGCTTATTTATTTTGAACTTTTCGGAAATAGCAGCTTATGTTATTGGATTAGTATATAAAGCCTGAAGAGAGATTGTGGTTCCTTAACAAATGACTGAAGTTTTCAAGAGCCTTATCTTACCAAAGGTTTCTGTGAGATAAATGTATATGTACAGCCTTCTCCATGGACATATGTGTAGATGTTTGTATACAATGCACTAAGAAGTCAGCATACAAAGCAGTACTGTATTGCTATACTGGCAAATCATTGCATTTAATTTTCTCTTCTTCATTTTCCTATTTCCCCTTGATCTACATGCTGCCCCAGTGAAGACTGCTAAAAACTGTAAATTTGTGAGCAATGTTTAAAAGGTCACAGTTTTTCAGTTTAAACTCTGTCCTATTTTAGAGGCAGTGTGGTTGGCACATGAGTTCCTTCATGGTGTAGGTGACATTGGGAATGCTGGGACTCTGTGTGCACGTGGATCCCACACTAACAGGAGTCTGCAGTGTTGGGCTGTCTCTGTAAAGGGTTGTCTCCATACCAAAGCAGTCTGTGTGTGTAGGGATATGCGGTGAAGGTGCAGTGCTAACAAGTGGCTCTACATATTCAGTACCTTCTTGTGTAATACCTGTCCATTTTCTGTGGGATATAGTTCCCTTCTCCAGCAGAATGTGTTACAATTTATTGCTATGTGGAACAATTAATTGTATGATTTCTTGAAAACATTGGCTGGATCTGTCAAATCCATCATCTCTGTAATCGTCCATCCACTAATGAAACTGCTCTTTTGCCAATTCAATACAATGTTTCACATAGTTCTAGCCTCAGCTCATTACTTTAAAATGTTATTACCAGAGGCATACAAGCAATAAAGTGTGATTTTATATACTTAATCCTACTTCTGTATTAATTTTAAGGGGCTCAGTGTGCTTGAAGTTTTAAGACAATTAACTACAATACATTTCAGTCCTCAGGAAAGAAAACAGACTAAGTTCAAAGCTCATTGTGTTTTCTAACTTTTATCTTCAACATCTTTGATTGTACATAAGCAATTCCAGATTTGGGATCCTTACAAGGAAGAGCTAAAAAAGGACCAAGGCATAAAAGAATTAAGGAATACACCTGCTAATTACAGGCATCTTTAGGAGAGCAGTGTGGAATTCAAGAAAATGCAGTATTTCAGGTTCCCTGCTATGTCAGAGAAATCAAATTCATTGAAGCATTTTAAAGAAAATAAAATGAGATTTTAAAAACTAAAATAACTTAGTTTTTACTTTTTGAAAATAAATTATTAGTTTCACCGACATTTAAGAACACTAAAATGGTGGGGCCTCCAATATAAAGGAAAAGATTTCAATGTGTATTAAGGAAATGTTTTGAGTAGACTAAGACAACATTTGTCTTTTTTGTTTTTCATGGTGACAACAATCTCCTCTTAGACAGTTGTAGAGAGCGATAAAGATCCCCCTCAGCCTCCTTTTCTGCAGGCTGCATGAAAAGGCATATCTGATTCTGTCTTCAGCTGCTTCACTGGTGTTGCTTCCAAAATTTGCAGGAAGTTTTGCGCCTTTTTTTTTCTGTCAATCTCACACCCTACAAGTATATTTTGCAGTGCTGATTTTCACAACTGCAATTTTGCAGCGTTGGTTTTTAGTACTGGGAACCATATTGAGGCATAGAGGTTGCCTGCCTGAATGTTCAGTGAGCAGGATGGTACTGCCACTCCCAAAATCAAGGTCCTTGAGCACCATCCATGAATTGAGCTTTTTCTTATTCTCTGATAGCTCACTATCAACTGCATCCCTAATAAAAGGACAGCACTTCTGAAGTAAGTATTTTGGGGCAAACTTAAATTTAGTTCATCATGGCTTTGGTGTATTGAGAGTAATCACAGGTGGATCCAAGTGTAAAATCTGTGTGAGTGAGAAAATGGTCAGTTTGGTACTAGAACACTTACAAAGTTTAAAAGTAAAATCTGCATTCAAACTGATACTTGTCAAAAGTGCAAAAGCATTAATTTATCCCAAGGAAAACAGGTAAATGGGTCTAAGGTTACATCGCCTGCTAGTTCACATCTCTGTGTGATTCAAGTTAGTCTCACTTAGCCCTACTACCCAATTTGTGCTTCACATCTGGGAATGACTGCACTTCTGATTGACGGGTGGTCTCCTCAAGCCATACCATGTGGTTTCCAGATGGTGGACTTCATCTCCCTTGAGGGAGGAACCCCTGATGTTTGCCTTTCCAACTGTTCCTTGTACTCTCTGTACTGTCATTTTCCCAGCAGCCCAATGACGTTTGGATCTTGGGGATTTGCTCTCTCACAGAGACAATGACAGAGATCCCTGCTAAACAAGTCACATGTACTGCTAAGCTTCTGACACTGCACATCATTCACAAAGGCTGTCTGGAAGGTGCAGGGAGCAAACCTGCTTGTTCTTTCTCCTTTGGACAAGTGTGTGTGATGCAGCACCCTCTTACAGGGGTTGACAAACACTTCTGCTACATGCTTCTGATCTGGGGGAGCAACGTGACCAGGGACCAGTTTAGATCCTGAAGGTGGTGTAACTGTATTAGTCTGGTATTGTATCCAAGCTAATGACAGCCTCTTAGTCCAGCTAATTATCTTGAGTGCAGGAGAGCGCTAGTATGGATCTGCCAGGCTAGCACACAGGCAGACACAGGTACCCTTTGTATCCCAGGTTCAGCCCATACGGAGTCTCAAAGCCTGTTTCTCAAGGCAAGGAAAAAAAAGATCAGCATTATTTATGAGTACAAAAATTAGGGCCAGCATTTGTGGGTTTTACAAACCACCAACTGCCTGGGACCATGGCTTCCTTAATTGAAAAACATACATAATGTGTAGCTGGGGATATGAGAGTGGACTAGAGGCTCTTCAGAGGTCCCTGCCAACTTTTTCTGAGATTCTGTGCATGACAAATACACAGTATACAGCCATCTCCCAGTTGTATCTTCATATCCTAATTCTTGGCTATGGCTGTGATGCCATGTACTGCTGGCACACTGTCCTGCAATATACACATCCATGTACTGATTGCTCATGAGATTGGATTCAGGCTATCTATACATGAATAATAATCCAACCCAACAGAGACAGCCAGACCTGCTAAGTCCACGCTGTGCTGGTTACTATGTGAAGAGCCTTAGATGTGCTTCTAGAGTACATTCCTGGTGTAGCTAAATCCAAACATAATTTAGCTCCTTAACATGAACCAGAGCACAGCAGGTGGGCATCTTCGGGAAGTTCACTTCAGAAGCTCACTTTGGACTAAATTGCTAATATAAGTTTACCCTCAGTTGGTCACTGATACACCTCAGGTAAGTGTTCCCTGGTGGGCAAGTGCTCCTGGCAGGCTCTCATAATCTTCTGGGTGCTGATGTGCACGCTGGCATCATGGCTCCTTCTGCAGCCACAAGCCAAGGTGCTGCCATGCCCTTTGAGTCTGTGTAGACTTGCCTGTGTAAGTTACTAATGACCAGCACTTGGCCTGCTTGCCATGAGCAGCACAGACTGCTGAAGGACAAGGCATGGCTGGAGGTAAACCATGGTCTCCAGTCACACGGAATGTGGAGGCTTCTGTTGCGAATTCCTGCCAAGCATGCAGAGCGTTCTGGGCTGCTTACAATGGCAGGGGCAGCATCTCAAGTATATATGGTTTAGTACACTTCCTTTGAGGCAGAAAGCTCTCTCATTAATTAAGCATCTGGTCCTGATCTGTGTAAGACCTACTTTTGCTGTGGTAACTGAGAAAATATTTGTCCTGAAAAGAGCACGTGTATATAAACACATGTCATCCACATACATGCATGCATTTGGGAATTAATTAACACCTGGTTGTTATTTATATCACAGAATTTAGGTCACGTAGTGGAAAACAGATCAGAATTGCTCACCCAACATTTTAGGAGGACTTAGACTAGGCAGTGTCCCATGTGGAAACTGTTAGGAAATACTATTTCTATTGACATAAAAAGTGCCAGAGGAGCCTTCACAACTATGTAGGGAAAAAACATACTAAACCTGTCTCACTGTAATATCAAAGCACTTTAGTAGAAAGCCTTCTGCTGCTTCCAGGATTAGCTGTTTCTTTTCTTCTTGCTTCTGTTCCTGTCCCGCTTGCAGGCATCTGTTCCCTGGTAGTCTGCTGAAGGGGGTTTCCAGTAACCCTTTCCAAGGGGAGCCTGGGGAGGATCTTCTGAAATATACAGTAATGGGCTCAACACTTAGGGCAGAAGGGCCTCACAGCAGCCACTGTTTCTTCAAGTGGGTTGCTGGAGTGCCTTGAGGAGGACATTCCTGTCACCTTTTCTGGTAACGGGTTTGTGTCACACGGTGGCACCCTTGCAAACCAAATAAAGCTTGAACTCCTACTGCAGC